GATAAAAATGACATGAAGAAGTTAATTATGTTATACTATGCAAACTTATCAAAAGTGCAGTAAGCAATAATTATTAAAAGCATACTAGGCAGTTTAAAACACATAAACAGTTACAGCATAGTAAGCAGAAAATCACTATAAATTAATGCATTAATTATTTGCAGGCATTGCATTGGCATTTACTACCATTCCAGGTATCAATAAGTTTAGAAAATTGGTTAAAATTGTTTTCTTCTCTTAAACTCTAGAGTAGTTCATTCCAAATTTTTGGAGCTGGGTAGCGAAAAGAATTGATTCTATAGCTTGTTGTTTTTACCTGGAGCTGTTCAACTGTATCTCCATATCTGAAGGAATATATGTGATTTTTAATATTAATCAAATCATGTAAATATGATGGACTCTTTTTGTGAATAAGTCTAAAAGTTTCTATAGCTATTGCTCGTAATCGTCTGACTTTAAGAGATGGAAGTGTTGACTTGTGTAAAAGATCTTCGCATGAGCTATCATAATCCTCATAAACAAATGTATTTTTTGTTCACAAATAAAAATGCCCGGTGACTGGGCAATACTATTAGTTACATAGTGTGCTAGTGCCCTAATACGATATATATGGGGTTAGTAAATTCCATATTGGGTGAGAGCGAAGCTCGAATCCCCATATGGAATTTACTGACCCCATATATATCGTATTAGGTCACTAGCACTCTATGTAACGAATTTATCTTACCGACTATCGACTACCGACATGTGGTATTCAGACTAGTGGCCTATCAAAGAGATCAAGTCTTAAATACCGTATGTTAGTATTTAGAACCTTTTTCCATTGATCTATACAAAAACAAATGCTAACAATGACAACTTGTCAGCGTTAAATGTGTTTTATGAATTTATTTCAATCGTTCATCATCAATTTCGTCGTCTGTTGAAACCTTTAAGATTTTTCCTCAACACCGTGTTGTTTTTATAAAGGTACGTAACACCCCTACTAACCGTGTATTGAAATAAGCCTCGCCTACTAACCCAATATGGAACCCTACTTACCCAATATGGAATATACACAGTCTCCACGCGGTTGCTTTTAACCAATCATATTCCTAGAAATGTATAGGAGGTAAGATAATTAAGATTAGACAAAATAAAAGAATAATAAATTGTTAAATGACCAAGTCTATTCAGATATCTAACGATATGTTTAAGATCATTAAGTTGACGAGAAGCCTTCTTACAAATCTCAGATATATGTTTCTCAAAATTTAACCTGTAATCTAGTGTAACTCCTAGTAGCTCGACATCATTTTCACATTGTATTCTATTTCCTTTAAGGTTAAAATCAATATCATGATTTAAAGGTTTTTACCATTGCCAGAGATTGGAATTTATAAGGATTAACTTTCGTTAAATTGTAATCAAACGAGTCCAGCATTTTGAGTCTTTCATTTTCTAATTTTTAATAACATTCGGTTAATCAAAATCAGCATAGGTTAAGGTGTTGTAATCAGAATAATTATATACATTACTACCAATTACACCAAAAATGTCATTGTTTTCTGTTTTGTAAGTATAAATCTATAAATAAAGGCAACAGTAGTATACCGCTATTCGAAACTCATAAATCGATAGAGATAAAAACAAATCCGGGTTACAAACTAAAACTGAGGGAAACGCATCAAATATAAGAGGAGAACAACGACACAACATTGAAATGTAACACACAGAAACGAACTATAATATAACAATGGTCACTTTCCTGACTTGGTACAGGACATTTTTAGAAAAAAATGGTGGGTTGAACCTGGTTTTGTGGCATGCCAAACATCCTGCTTTTATGGCAATGTTAAGTATAACATTAAAATGACAACATTACATGACAGGATTACAATACAAATAAATGGGAGAACATATAGTACAAAGAAACACACGAATAATAGCTAACAAAAGGCACCAGGTTTAAGATCCAATACGCCAGACGTGCGTCTCGTCCACACAAGACTAACCAGTGACGCTCAGATGAAAAAGTTTAAAAGCCACAAAAAGTACAACGCTGAAGAGCACCGAGGACCAAAACTTTTAAAAAGTTGCGCCTAACACGGCCAGGGTTTTCTGCCTGGGACAAGAACATCCTTATTATTTAGAATAATTTATAATTTTGCAAACAGTAAATTTTATAAAATGACTATATAATAGATATACATGATAAAACCGAAGTGGGGACTAACTACAGAATAAAAACGGATACATAACATAAAACAACTGAATTCAACACATAAAAAAAAAAGTTGAGTTAGCCAAAGCCTCAACGCACAAAGTGACGTCACATTTGAAATTCTAAAAAAACACACAAATATAAAACTTGTTGACAAACCATAAGTTCTCGAACCAAAAATTAAATTCAGCGAAGGCAACTGGAGACAGTAAGATCTTCTCGTCCCAATCGAGTTTATGAGTTATTAGCATAGACATTTGCCTAGAAAATAACTGACAAACTGATCCGTAGGCGAATTTCAATGAAATAATAGAACCCACAAAAAAACGCAAGCTCTCTTGCTGAAACGTGCACTTTTGTCTGGATGTTAAGGATCTTTTCACGAAGGTTTTCTAGTTTATGAGTTGATATATCAATATACCCGTAACGTAAATTTTAAGTAAAATAGCCATTTTAGAGTTTGTACTGGTTCACATTGACTTTTTTCTGCGTTAACTAGAAAACATGCTTCTAAAAGGTAATTTTGACACATTACTGAAAGTGTATTACAATTGTCCAATTCATCACATATCCGTCAAATTTACCCTTCGTTTTGCTATACATTAAAAGCACTTAAATAAGACTGTACACAACTTTATTTTTTAAACAAAAAGACGGTAAGCATTTTATTTTTTTATCTTAATGTCACATAGCACTAGTTTTTATTTGAATACTATTATCATTCTTTTAATTTTTATTATGTTTCTCTTTTTTGGTACATGAAAAGATTTTAGCGGAGAAGGTATTTTCAAATATTAATGAAATACAATATTTTTTCTATGTTTAATATGAACAAAAGGAGATGTTGGATGGGTGTCAATGAGAAATTAAAGCAACTAAACAATGCACGCGCCAATCTTAAAATGTGCTTTTCATATAGAGTTTCATTTTTTATAAATGAAATTACAATTACTAAGTAATCAGTTATAAGTTATATTAAAGTTCATATTTTTTTTGGAGCTACAAGTTTTCGTTAACTGTAGCTTTACTACACCTTAAATATCATCTTCTACAAAGATGAATCCTTGTAACCTTTGTATCGTTCATGCAATAAGTATTTACATGATTTTAAAGGATTTGTTTTAAAACCTTTGGTCTTGATAAAGGTTATTGCAGAAACATGTTTGTTTAAAAAAAATGTAATTCTGAAATTATTTAGTAAAACAAGTTTCATCTAATTTATGTAATGGTTCTTATAATATATTGAGTGGTTTTGTTTAGGCGATTTGGCTCTATAAGGAGATATGGTATGAGTTATTTGAGATAATTTTCCATCAAAAGACTACAGGATATAATCAAACAACTACAAGCCACTGTACGGCCTTAAACAATGATCAAAGCCTGAGTATGTCTTTGTACAATGTATATAAATGAAGAACCTTTAAAACAATAATACAAATATGCATTACCGTTTTGAACTGAATTTTTTTCTAGAAACATGTATCGTACGCAAAACATGTGTTTTGCTATGAGTAATATGAAATATCTGCTGTGAAAAGGCAAATACATATTTAATAGTCTATTTACCAATTCCCGCAATTGACCCTGTTATTAGAGATCCATTTTTTAGTTGTCTCCATTATAAGGGACATAAATTTGTATCGGCAATGGAGAGCTAGCGGGTAGAGCAAATTTATCTGTAATGTGTTTGCCCTTTTTCAAATCTTTTAATTATATTTAATTTGTTGTTCAGCTAAATACTTTTAATACCAGAAGTTATTTTTCACCAAAAATTGTTTAAAACGCCGATATATCAATTTCAACTTATCATGCTTTGCGTACGTAGAAGCCAATTTTGTCCGGTATAGAACCAGTCTACGATAGATAAAGGGAAGCAATTTGTTTAAAAAGTGTGTAATAACAGAATGAAATCGGTAATTGACAAATGGACTATTGGATAGTGAAATGTCCATGTATGATACAGGCATTTCCATCACTTGGCTTTTTTTGTTCAAGACAGGATCCCACTGTCATGTATATAGCCTACGAAGTGTGGTATATATATATATACGTAATCGAGGAAGCTTCCAAACAATAGAAAACACTGAGGCATCTGGTGGTCGCCTTTTAAATATTCTTCGATATCTGCTTAAAATAAAGTGATAAAAATGAAAAATAAAGTAGCTAACTTCCTATTCGGCTTTTTACTTTCTCCTGCAAATTAAAGTGGTGTTTAACATATAATATGACATCTTCTTAATCGGTTGAACGTGTATCAATGACGGAAAATGTGTACAAATATGTATGTTTGGTCTTAATGTGAATGTGTGTCTATTTGAAATGAGATACTATAAAAACTGATACGATACTGTAAATATCTGTTCTTAGTGGGTGTTTTTTGCAAATCAGTAAATAAAAAATTGACTTTTAAACTTAAACCAAATGAGAGATCGCATGTGGATATCGTTCTCGTGGACTTGTTTTTAAATATATACGGGCCATTACATTTGCCAAACATAATAAAATTATAGCAAACGCAAAAAAAGGATAATTCGAATAAGAATGGATTACACCACAACAAAAAGATAAGAGGACGGACAAACACGACTTTGAAAACACTACGCTCCCAACTGGATTTAAGATCCAACAAAAAAGGGAACACACTCATGTGGTCTTGAAGTGTAAACAGTTGTTGGTCGACCAGTAAATACGTAATATAATATTAATCTGTCAAGAAGGTGGCCACAATTGCAAAAACTAATTTTCCTAGGGGTTCTCAAAACATCCAAAAATATACATACGATATACAACATATACAATTAATAAAAATCTAAGTTAGTAGTCACAACACCTGATTCAAGAAAGTGTTCAAAGATTCTCATTGAAAAGAAGATTAAACTATCTATTTGAAGTATTTAAAAGGATTTACAATATTTTACTTCTGAGGGAAAACAGTTTGAATAAAATTACCGAACTCCAAAGTTAATTAAAAAGGGGAGTCCACAAAAACTGACAAAATCAAACGTAAGACTATATCAACCAACGAAACAAATGGAATACAACTCTCGATTTCATGACCTGGTACTAAAGAATTGTTCCATATTTGTGCACCTGAGTACTTTAATGTTTTCTTTACAAAATTAGTCTTTGGCTTTGGCAGGTGTAAAGCTTTATTGTCTATGGACCGTAACTGATGATTTCAAACATGTACATATAAATCGATACATGAAGATAAACCATACGGATGCACGGTACCAAAACGGATGTTAGCCATGCATCAAAATGCTGAGAAAGATAAGATGAGTCATACGTTAACATAGTATCAAAGAAGGATTTAATCCTTGTGTTAGCATAGTGTCAAAACGGCAGTTAAATGATACGTTAGCATGGGGTCAACAAGGGGAGATAAACCATTCCACAGCATGGTTTGAAAGGTGAAAGGAAAGTTAAGTTTAAATGCGATTGATGTTGAAAACGGACAATTAAACTATATTGAAGCATGGTTTTTAATAAATATAACAGGTAGGTCATTAAAAGACGCCGTTCGGGATGAAGAGGAAATGTGGACTGACACGTTCTGGAAAATGAGGGTAAAGTGGATGTAGGGCCTAAAATGTTGTCTTGGAATAGCCACCTTCGTACCCCTAAAAGTATTGTTGCAAGGGTACTTAATATGCAGAGAGCATGACACTTTCTCTACACGAGGCATCAGATTTACGTCCCCATTTAGGCTGACCGGACGTGACAGCGTATTTGTAAATCCCGCACAGCCAAATGGACGCCCTATTTCGGCAAGAGTTTTAATGCTAGTCAGAAGAAGACCAAGAGTGACCATGCTTCTATTTTCGAAGTTCCTGGTAATTGAATTGTATACAAGTTTCTTCTAATTTAACACTTTAAATTTTGTATTTTGATTCCATTCGGCATAATTTCGATTTTTAGGACTGTATTGTACGAGTAGTTTTACTTCATTCGTTTACAAGAATATCGATTTCCGTTTGATAGAATAAGTCAAAATCTCACATTTTGAAAAGACATATTCTGTACTGCTCTTAAAAGGAATAAAACGGTTTTTGATGGGTTTTTTTGGTGGTATGTCATGAAGTATTCGCCAAAGCCATACACACTACACCCATGAAGAAATTATATTGTACTATTGCTGCTTGTATCGTCTATCATTTAAAATGTATGAAGGTTTTCATGTTTAATTAATATTAGCATGTGTAATGTATGATTAAATATTTGCAAAGTTGGTTTTACAGAATTATATCGTAGAATATTTATTTCATATGAAGGTGCAGAATGTTCTTTTTGTCATAGAATTTGACATGGGATGAAACAGATTCCATATTCTTTCCAGATCAAAAGACTTCAAATTGGCTAAAAAAAGAATTAAGTTGTGGAGGTTGCTGACTTTAACTAACAACTTAAACGCCATAATAAATGGTCTACTTTTTAAGGTTTTCTAGTATGAAACTGGACGGAAACATTTATATTTCAAATAAAAGAGTATATCAATAATCATCAACAAACATTCATATTTTTTTATCGGGTCAATCTTTTTTCATCACCATTGATCGTTTAAGAAAACATATATGAATGCTACGTAGGATGGTTACATTTCCAGTCGCTATTGGCTGTACTACTTTTTTCAGTCAAGTAATATCCATCCTTTTCTATCTGTAACTTATTTATACTAGAAATCTCTTGAAACCACCAACTGGAGGTGAGAGGAAGGGAACAGAAATATGAGAACAAATTATGATTTTTTTTTATCGTTTAACAAAAATCGCATATATTCGAAAACAAAAAATTCTAGTAATGTTTTGAGGAAAGGTGTTCATGGATCTTCAGGTGTGAGCAGAATATTTTCTATGGCGCTGAATTCACTTTTGACAACAGTTATATGTATGCTTGTAAAAACATAGCAATTTCTAAAAGGGAAAAACCAACAATTCATTTGTAGCGTTTTGTTTTAAATGAATGATACTGTTTAAAACTTACGTAATGATAACATCGTACACATGTGTAACGCTTAAGTACAATATCCAAACCTGCTGCATTTCACTATTCTACGCATTGGACATGTTGAATAGTTGTTGCTTGCACCAAATGTCCAAAATAGGCATAACTGACAAAAGTAAAGAGATAAAGCGCAACGAAGACACTTCATGCCTTGAATTACCAAGAAAACGTTTGTGTAAACATGTAATACTAATTCTAGGAATTAACATTAGTAAAAATGATTTGTACAATACTATGTGATACAATAAGTGATAATTATTATCTTGCATTATACATGTCAAAAACAGGAACTTGTTTTACCACACTAATTATATATTAATATAATTGAAACATACATGCAGTTCATATTCAATGTCATGTTTGCATCATGTTGAGGTGCTAAGAACTATTGGAAAACACAAAAGAACCAAAATATATAAAACTGTGAAAACACCAAACAGGAAATAATCGAAAAATTCTGCTAACTCCTTGTTGGTGTACGGTGTAAATTGCTTACTACTCTCCAGGCAGACTCTTCCATCTTTTGGTTGGTCATTTTCAGTAATCTGCCTTTGGTCAAGATGATCAAGATGATTTATTCTTCCGGCTCTGTGCTTTAACTTCAAGAATTTCCTTGCCAAGGAATGCATCCATTTTGGTGCCTTGTCGTGTTCTGGTTGATGGAAAAGTCTTATGATAAATATCGTAAAGATAATCACAAGAGAGGCCATTCCTAATGTAACTGTTAGAAATACCACTGCAAAAAGAAAATGAAAACAAAAGTTTTATAAGATAAAAATATCACAGTTTTACTAATCTCTCTTGATAAAACGGAAACTACATCTTTAGAAAGGCAAGTGAGATTTATAATATACCAATTTTGACGAGATTGTCACAAAACTTGCCAATGTCTATGCACTAGTAAATGAAATTAAGTCTTAATTGCTCATCTCATTTTTGATCTTGCAATCATCTGAAAAGTCTGAACAATAAGTAATTCTTTAATAATGAAGACAACACAATTATTGTGAATGCATATTTTTTACAAAAAATGTAACTTTACCAAGAACAGAAGTATGTTTTGATGTTGTAGGCATACTGTCTGAAAATAACGTCAATAAAACCGCCAAAGCAAGTAGCACTGTCAGAATGTATCCGATCTTGTCTCCAGATTCAAGTGGCAGAAAAAATGTAACGAATGTTAATACGGCAGTTAAAATGGTCGGAAAAATAACGCTCATAAGGTAATGACCATAATATCTTTTAAACTCCATTTGAAACAAAAGTTCCGAAAACTTCAGATTGCCTTCAGTTATATTATATGTTTTCTGGGAGGTTGTTGTTAGGTTCCATTCTTCATCTTTGTTGTATTCTTCTAAATTTATTTGAGTATCGAGGAATTCTAAGTTGACAACGTCTGCAGGGAAACCCCAGCTAGCTAATTCTATGGTGCAAGTTTGACTGTCATATGGAAAGTACGTGACATCCATGTCACACGCCGTGGATAAAACAGCTGGTGGTTCCCATTGTACTTCTCCGTTATATTGTATTCGGACTATTTTTTCGGCACCAAGATTTTTCCGTAATTCCACAATACTAAGATTGAAATAAAAAGTTATTTTGTTAGATATCTTTTACGCATGAAAACAAGAGAAAACATATTATTGTAACGTATCAAATTGAAATTAGCTAAAAGATGATGCCATCGTCACAAATATACAAAAGACATTTAGAAACTTTTACGTATGTGTTTATTCATTGCCATAGCTCGTTATTATCTTCTTTTAAGTAAAATTCTGCATTTTTATCCAAAACGATTTATGCGTGTATACACGTAAACAGTTCTGTAAAAGATAATAACCCTCATTTGTTCAAGTGTTTTTTACATTTAATTATTATTGAAGTAAAATGTTTGAAACACGTACGAATTCTGCACAATCAATTCAGGGTGCCAGACCTGGTCCTCGGGTACAAATATATAGTCAATATTTCCATAAGATGAATTTGTCCATGATAATCGACTGTCAATCCATACCTAAAATTTCACATAACAGGTTAAGCTACAGTAAATCATCTAATATAATTGCAAATGTAAAGCTACACTATATGAATATATATACATGCATAATAGCCTAAAAATATATACCAGATCGTCTAATAACGACGATGTCGAAAAAAAAAGGAAATACTTTAAAAGTCTTCGGATGTATGCAACGATACTGATAAATGATAAAAATATACAAACAAGATGAACAGGGTGAAACTAGAACTTAAATATTAAAGGAAAAAATGTCAAAGAGATAATTACAAGGACAAAGGCAAAGGGATTGGAACTAGCTTTTTTTGGCAATTTGGAAAAGAATCATTACACAGACACAATATTCCTCAACTTATTATGAGGACGAGTCTGAGATAAGATAACCGATCCAAGTATTATTTAAAATGAACAAAAACAATTCTATAAAATTTTATATAAACTAATTATTATCCATCGTTACTGCAATCTCGCAGGAACACATTTTTACAACATAACAATTCTTTTATTACTTAACTTAAGGAGGAAGAAGTCGGTCACTGTAGGGGACCCTTAACAATGCAGGAATGTCTATATTGTCTTACATAAATGAAGAATTCCAAATCACCTGGTAACGATGGATTCACTGATGAGTTTTATAATTCTTTTTGAATGACATTAAGATGCCTCTGGTAACATGTCTAAATGAGGCCTTGGATTATGGAAAATTCTCTATCACTGAAATACAGGGACTCATTACTTATATACCAAAGGAAGGTAAGTCAAAAGGAGTAGATTCGATAAGGCTCTAACATGGCCCCTATTTCTAATCAAATCAGGATTTATTGACCAATTCTACAATGAATTATAGCTAATACAATGACTAGATATGAAATATGTCCGTTTGTTGAAAAATGTACGTACTTTCGATCTAATCATGACGTCAGAACTAGCAATTGTTTGATTTTCAATGAATAAATATTTAAAACCGTTAAATTTCCATTGATTTTTGGACAAGAAACATAGAATACATGCGTCGCCAAAAAAGATCATTTAACATAATGTTTGTAATTACATTTTATATATCTGACTTGAATATTTTGGTTTTTTTTCGAACGATGCGATCTATGTTTCACAAGCCATAATGTGGTTAAAATCTGGACGATTTTGTCAAATTTTACAAAATCTGTACTTTTGACAACGCTTTTTTGAAAATAAAACTTTGATTTAAAGTAATTCTTTCTAACTTTCTCACAAGTCTTTTCGTTAACTTAAAACATTTTTTATCTTGAAACAATGAACTTAATAATCGGGGCCAAATATGGTCCTTAAAGAACTTATTTCTTTTATCTGAGGAACAGGCAGGCTGCTATTACACATTGCAGTGTTTAGACTACAGCAAGTCTAGCAAATAGACGCAAAAAGTGAAGTAAGATATTATAAGCCAAACACAAAAAGTTTTTTTTAAAGGTACATAGGCGAATGTACCAGTTTTATTTATTTTGAAAAAGCTTCCGACACGGTCAAAAATCTTTTATATTAGAGGCGTTGCAGATTTCTGGCTTTAAACATACATTTATAAGTTGGATAAAGGCATGCTACTGTTATGTCTCTAGCGCAGTGTTACATAACGGATATATTTTAGAAATGTTTTCCTTAGAAAGGGTGGTCCGTCAAGGGGATCCTTGATCTCCTAATCTATTAATAGTAGTGTTTGAATTGTTCAGTGCAGCAATTATAAATTACCCTGAATGTTTATTGAGTGAATATGCGGAAGATTCTTCCTTAGTCCTGGATGGTGATGAAAAGTGCCAAAATCAATGTTTACATGTGTTAAATAGATTGTCAGAATGTGCTGGTCTGAAGTGTAATGTTGATAAAACTGAAGCCATTTGAATTGGATATTAAAAAGTTCGTATGGAAAAAGTTGTTGTTTTTATTTTGAGGTAAAAACTATAAGTATATGGGTTGAGCTTGCGAAAGTGGATGAGACTCTGTGTCATTTCACAGCTAAGATAACCAGAACCAGTATTAAGTCATTGTTAAATACACGGGCTTAGTTATAAAAACTTTAGTACTTCCAATATGGGTTCAAGTTCTGACCGTCCTCCCTAACCCACAAAAAAGCGTATTGAAGGAGATTCAGAACATATTCTTTCCTATTTTTATTGAAAAGAAAACAATATTAGTAAAAAGGTCAGTGGTATGTCTATTTGATGGAGTCTTAAGAGTCTTAATATTGATTATTTTTGCTATAGTGTAAAAATGTCTTTGTTGTATACATTATTACATCCACAAAATAGCTTAACATTGGGAAGTTTTGCTGCTAAGTTATATAAAAAATATTCGGGGGAGACCAAAATTTTCATTTAAGTCAAGTTGCACAATAAGTTTAAAGTTGAAAACAATACTGATATGCTTACCCAGTCCACATGGCTAAACTCAAACACCAAAATAGATGGCAAGATAATTTTGAAGTTAAAATATATTGAAAATTGTGTGTGTATTTTTTTATCAACGATCTGGTATCAGATAATAATGCATTAATTTGATATGAAGAATTTAAAAAAGTATAATATCAATACTAATTTTGTTGAATTTAAAGGTATGATATGGTCAATTCCAAAAAGATGAAAAAGTGGGATAGAATGTAGTCCTAAATTAGACAATATTGAAAATAAATTGGTGGATAAAGTTAAAAAAGAACCGAAATCCTGTGAAAAAGTTATCAATTTTTTTGAAAGATGATAAAGTATTTGCTTTATCTTACCGTAATAAATGGGAAACAGATTTTAATATGAAGTTTAAAGATTGGATTACTATTTATTCCATGTCTTTTACAATAACCAGAAATTCATTAAAAACATATATATTTGAAGATTATTCATAGGGTTTTACCATGTATTTCATTTTAATTTAAATGTAAATTAAAAGAAACTGAACTTTGTACTTTTTTTGTTAAAAAATCTGTGATTTTTTTTCACAATTTTTGGGAATCTAATGTTGTACAAAATTACTGGCTATACATGATAGACTGGATTAGAAATTATACGTTTTCTTACCCTTTAGCTAATTAATTAAAACCATAGAATGTTTTAATAATTTGTCAAAATGTAGTTTTAATCATGTTTTTTTACAAAATATAATAATAAGTATGGGTCATCGGACTTTTTTTCACGCTACAGGTTGTGCAAAATTGTCAGATTTTGTATAGATTATGCATGGAAAGTCCAATTTTGTATGATAGAAAAAAAACTACGCCATTAGCATGACCATAGAATGTTCAGATAAAATGTGAGAAGATAGCTCTTATAACATGCTTTCAGATAAGAAAAAGAAAAAATTGGGTGATCGGACTTGTTTTCTTGCTACATATTAAAATAGGTAAATTCACAACACTTTATATTATAAAAATTACTTTATCTGAGCTATCTCCCCTACAATCTGAGTTATCTCCCCTTATGTGTTTATTTTTATTAAAAAAACAGCCGTAAATATGATAAACACAAAGTTTTCTATATTAACATGAACAATCTTACACATGAATTACATACTACTCTCAAAATTTGCACCGTTCATTTAAGACCTAGACCAATCTGCTACTTCAAAATCCAAGATGGAGGAGGACACCCCAGCCACCTTAAAAAGTATATATGTTGTACAAATGCAGATAGAAGAAATATTGCTCGGAAACTATGGTGGGATTGTATATATAAATGTTAGATATGTATGTTTCCTAACCCCCGCCCAAAAAGTTAAAATAAATCAGAAATTGCAGTTGTTAGAAGCAGCATTTAAGTGTTATGTAATTTCTATAATTTGTGTCTAGTACTGTAATTTGTAATTTGTAAATTCACATGTTTCATCATGAAAATCAAACAATTAAAGAAAAAAATGAAATAAAATTGTATTGACAATTTTGTTTGTAAAAGTAAAACCTTTCGTCTGTGTCTGCCCTTGTTCAAAATATCATCAAATATTATGAGTTCTTAGTGTGCTTTAATAGCTTTTTTACTCAAGTAAATGTATGCTTTATTCTATATTCCGGCTCTGAATTAAAAAAATGCCAGTATTGGGATGTCAAAAGTGCCTATTCACGTCTACGTAAATATCGAGATGTAAACATACGCAGCCATGCTTACTAAGTATAGAAATTTTGTTTTATTTTTTTAAGTGCAAGATTATAGAACAAAATATTTGTCAACACGATTTCATTTCATCTTTTATCAGTATCGTAGCACACATTTTAGAACTTGTTTTTATATAAATGTAAAAAAGTCTGAAAAAAATTAACCAGCAAATTTAATAGGCACCAGATCACTAGAATTGATGATCATGCACAAAAAAAACCCCAAAAAACAATAGACATTTTTAAATATTGTAACAGAGAGGCGAAAGATACCAGATGGACATTCAATCTCATAAGTCGAAAATAAACTGACAACGCCATGACTAAAAAGAAAAAAACCAACAGACAACAATAGTACACAAAACGCAACATAGAAAACTAAAGACTGAACACGCGAACCCCACAAACAACTGGGGGTGATCTCAGGTGCTCCGGAAGGGTAAGCATATCCTGCTCCACATATGGCAACCGTCGTGTTGCTCATATTAGTACAAACCCGGTAATAAGTCTAATTCGGTAGGTCACATTCGGCACGACACTGAAGAAAGATAATTATGTACGAATGAGAAAAAATAATGTTGTACTGACAAATAATGCCATTTAATAAAGTTTGTTGTTTAATGTGCCAATATTAACAATAAATTGAACAACTCAAATATTGAAGAAAATAGAGCCAATGAAATAATTAACATGTATCTCCTAGGACAGGGTTGCCATACATTCTGGTAAATACATGTATAAAGGACGATTATTTTCAAACAGTTTGGCTGTTGAAAAATAAGATAACACTGAGTCTTTGTTGGCCAAAAATAATGATTCCTAGAAAGAAAATATGCAAGGATCATACTTTACATTTGCTCAACTAAGGTCAAGTTACAGTAAATGGGCTATGTGTCAGATTTTGGCAAAATTTTGCATACCGCTTACCACATCTTCTTTTTTATATTGGCTCGTAAACTTTAACTGAAAATCGAAAAAAAAATGCCTTTATCTTCTTGATTCTCTGAAATATCACTGATCGAATTGTTTTAAAAAAATCATATAAAATTGAAGAAAAACTTTCTTAAATTTGTCTTAAAATAATCAAATCTCTAATTTCAAATCAATAGATTTAAAAAAAAAAAAAACTATATGTTGTTGGTACACACATTTCTGTTTTAAATTATCTGAACTAATTGTACGGAAAACTTTTTTTTGAGTAATGGGTAAGGTGAGAAAAAAACCCACAAAAGGCCGAAATAAGCGTAACGTCATCGCATTGAAAACCATAATGCGTCGACTTTTTAACGCTACCAATTAGGTAACAGATTGGTTAGTACACCAAAAACGAAGTCGGTAAGCATATAATTATTTCATAACGGAAATTTGTGTATCAACAACATATTGTTTTTAAGCAATAGTAATATCAGTAATCAGTAATATTTCAGATAATAAAAGAATAAAAAACATAAATGCATTATTTTTTTCGATGTTCAGTAACAGTTCAACGAGCCAAAGTAATATGCAAAAATTTATAAAACTCGGCTACATAGTTTCTTGACCTTAAAAGGTGTTGAAAATAAATGGAATTACTTACCACGGTAAACCATCCTGATGTCTCAAATATTTGTTCCTTTATATCCTTAAAAAGATAAAACAAATACAAGATAAGACAATTTGTAAAACAAATAAAAAGTAAAGATGTTATTAAACATGTCAGATGATAATGGCAACCTTTAAAATGAAATTTATGAATGAACAGAATGAATTTTCTTAGAAATAAATCATATGTTGTGAACAAGAGAGACTAGGATTCAATGCTTCGTTTTCCTTATTTCTGCATATACTTTTAAAGACGTATTATTAGCTTTTATTATTTAATTGAATATATTAAACATTCTGTTTTTGGGAATATTACAATTTAAGAACTTATTGTATACATATTGATGATTGATCGGTACGAGAGGATAACATAAAACGAAATATTACTCTCTGAGCTTTGTGTCAGAGTATAATTTCATCATCGTACTAACCAATGACAAATTGGCAATTTAACATGCTGTATAAAAATTTAGATACCTAGTTCTAGACTACTCTGAGTTAAAGTTAAGGTAAGGTTTGCGTACACAGGGAGATAACACAAATTCAAATAATTAAAAAATGGAGGGACCCGCCATTTTGAATTGCTTTGATCAACCAATGTTCGATTACTACAATATTACCGAAAATAAAACAACACCTACCTCAAAATCGCCGTTTTGATGTGATTTGATCAAAATTTGAATCGTAGAAGTAACGTTATGACCTTCAGTTTGTTAGTTTTCATTTATATGACGTCACCTTTAGCCATAACGTCTTTGTGCAAAAACTATTCATGAAGTTTCGCGGAATTTTATTTTATTTCATAAATGTACATTTTAATGCCTCCGCCATAGCAAAGCAGGCATTGAGTTTTATTCTTGTCTGTTTGTACGTCCATCCGTATCATAGTGTACGTCCGTTTTTACAAAATTGGTTTCCGTTCTCTAACTTTGGTTGCCTCAACCAACTGATATGAAACTTATGCACAATGCTTATTACCACAAAAACACAGAATAAGTTTGAATTTTGATGTCGTCACTTTTACACATCTAGATTTATGAGGGGTCGGACAGGGGGTACCTTTTTCCTTTCTCCCATGTCCCTTCTCTTGTCTCCCGCCGTAAAACCTTAAATGTATGGGAAGCTCCTTTCACAATATAGAAGTGTGGTTTATTCTTTTTTTATGGATGCATTAAAAATGTGTCTTTCAGACACAACTATAGTATTGTGTCGTCCTTAACATGCCTGAACTATTTGCCACCGGACATTTTACAACCTCTTATCAAACAAACTTCTATGCATATCAGTCAATTTTGAAGCAATTTATCTAAAAGCAAGGATGGTAACATGTGTCTCTACACATGCACGGACCAACTATAAAATCCGGGAAATTGTTAGTTTTTAGTCTTTCTCCGTATATAAGAGCTCAAAATGAAGCTCCAGGTATTTTTATGAGGTCGATTTCTGAATTTTTCGTCTCTGTTCTAAACCTCTAGTTTGCTTCAACCAAATGTTATAAAATTTATACGTAATGCTTTATAATGTTTTATGTTTATGCAAGAGGGGGCATCATCAGTGTCCCATGGACACATTCCCCATTTATTTCAAGCTCTAACGTATTATTTCTTTTTGTAACGGATTAGAATCGGAATAACATTACTGTGGTTGAAGAGTAGCCACAATCAATTTTGATTTGACGGTCGCAAATTTCCGTTTTACTGTCTCCGCTACGCATCGACAGTAAAACTGCATTTGCGAACATCAAATCGCAAATTGACGGTATGGACTCCTCAACTACAGTACCGTTACTCCTGTGAACTTCATTGAACTGATTTTAATTTAATGAAAGTATGTGGAAGATTTTCATATTACAGGTCTACATAACTTCATTTCTTATTTTATATATGAACAATACATATACGGCTGGTCATTTGTATTCCCGGGCCATATTCTGTTTCGTCTATCATCATGTATAGGAGCATGTAGTTTGTTTGTTTAGTCAAAGACTCCTAATCTGAACATCATGTGTAACAATTGGACAAATCAGATTTAAATGAATGGAATAAACACGGCTGCTGTAAATGACTTTACTAGTCAAAACTGATGTTTTTTCATCAAATTTCTGCATACAAACAATTTACCAAACATGGGGCAATAAAGCAATTATGGCAACCTCAACGGAGTTGGGGTGACGTATTGTTATTCTACGTTTTTTTTCTCTTATTATGGCACCCTCAACGGAGTTGGGGTGACATACTGTTATTCTACGTTTCTTTTTTTTCTTATTTTTCTTCCACACATTTTGTCCGTGCGAGTTCTTAGAATCCGATGGACCAATGTTGATGGAACTCTACTATAATGAGGACCCCCATGTAAAGTTGTGCACCTTGCTATGGAATGGTAAAAAATGGCCGCCGTTTCCATGGAAACGGCAAAAATGCGAAAAAAATCAAAGTGTTCCAAACTGGAAGAAACTCCACAGGAATGGTAACTGGCATGTGCTGATTTGCAGTTTGACTGCGGAATTTTCAAAATGGCTGCCGTTACCATGGAAACAGCTAAAATATCAAAAATTCTAACTCTTTCGTTATAAAACCAAACTAGATGAAACTGTATGAAAACGTTACCCAGTATGCTAAGATGTCAAGACAATATTTGAATAGTACAAAGTGGCCGCCGTTGTCATGGAAACTGGGGGCAAGTTTTACATTGACCCTATGGGAAAATGCATAAAATCAGCATTTTCTTAAAGAGTATTTCACCAAAGTCAATAAAACTGTATTGATATATAACATGACATGTGGAAATCAGATGTCTGCTTCTAGAATTTTGGAATTATCCACTGTAACCATGGAAACAGCAAAAATGTCCAAAATTTCAAAAAAAATAAAAATGTTGCACACCGGATGAAACTTTACAGAAATGGTAACTGGCATGGGCAGAGTTGCATTTTGAAGTTGGAATTTTCAAAATGGCCGCCGTAACCATGGAAATAGCAAAAATCAAAATGATCCAAACTTAATGAAACTTTACAAAAATGATAATTTGCATGTGTAGATGCACTCTTTGACTTTGGAATTTTCTAAATGGATGCCGCTCGCCTGGCAATGGGGGAAAGGGTGCCATCCGCTATTGCTTGCAATGGCAAATCTAGTTTTTATTATTCTTCTTCCACACATTTTGTCCGTCGTGTTTCTCGGAATTTAATGGACCAATGTTGATGGAACTTTACTATAATGAAGACCCCCATGTAAAGTTGTGCACCTTGGTATGGAATGGTTCAAAATGGCCGCCGTTACCATGGAAACTGCAAAAATGTCAAAAATTTCAAAATGCTCCAAACTTATTGAAACTTTACAAAAATGTTAATCAGCATGTGTAGATGCACCCTTTGACTTTGGACTTTTCAAAATGGCTGCCGTTACCCTGGCAATGGGGGAAGGGTGCCATCCGTTATTGCTAGCAATTACAAATCTAGTTTTCTTTACTTTTAATGGCAATTAGAATGCTATCCTAATATTCAAAATATTACAGTTTGAAGCACTGAAAGAAAATAAGTGTTTCCTTCAGAATCAGAGTCTTGTACATGTATTAATACAAAAGAATGACCAAAGTTTAACACCTCCCCTTCGACTGATAGTTATGGGCATAAAAGTCAATGGTAGAAATCAAAAGTTCAATGTAGGATAAAAAAAACTTAATTCACATAGTTTTTTATCCCCCCCCACCCCACCCCCCCCCCGTCCCCCCCCAAGCTCCAAACTTTTTGTTACAAGACAAAATGATTCTTTGTAAAAAGATGCTATTAAAGATGACTTTCTTCTTTGCAGATCAACAAAAAAATTATTTTTGTGTTTTAAAGAAATGACAAGATGAACACATAACGCCCATTTCCGTAAAAACAAATTTTGGGACATACCAATTTTATTAGCTCATTATAATGCAAATAGTTAAATCCTTAAGTTCACAGTTTTTTACAAAAACGGTGGACCCGGAAAGGGGATATTTTTGGCTTTTTGTTGCCATGGCAACGGAATTTTTTTAACCCAAAAAATTAAAAAATCTTATTTTTAGGAACTTTTTTAAGAACTTTTGAATTAAAAGTTATCATTAATGAATGGACCACAATTATTTATACATGTTTTATTCAGTTTTATTTTTTTATAGTCACTTGCATATATTATTATTTCAGAAGAATTTAAATACAATTTCCCATAAAAAACGTCAAAAATCGCAATTTTGAGCTTTTCACTTGAAAAAACGGGACGGGCGATTTTCGATTTTTTTTCATTAAATGAACAAAATGATGTATCATATTGGTATAATATCACTAAGAAAAAAATCCAGGTATCATGCAAACCTTACCTTAAGTAAACTTTTGACATTAACTTTGATATATTACTTTTTTACAACTTTGTTACTAAAGAAAAAATTACCAACGTAGTAACCTAAATCTTGTTTAGCATGTTTAGGTAGGAATTAATCATACAATACCTGTCTGATTCAAATACAAAATTCTCTGAAGCTTAAATCATACTGAAATTGTTGAAAAGAACTTTGCTGTGTACAAAAACTGAATGACAATTATAATTTAGATATTGCTTGTTTGATACAATATTTCTATTGTGCCTGTATTGTACTATTATCTATTTCCCATTAACAACTAAACCATTACACCTTTAAACAAATCGTACGTATTTTAAAGCTAGTAAATTGCTTTGGAACTAAATCTAATAAAAGCTATACATTACTGTTGATTTGAATGTGTTTAAGTGTGTTGACTATTGTTTATTGTTGAAGTGTATCCGTGTTGAATTTAGTATGATTGCATAAACTAAACCTGATGAAACTCGGATTATACAGTTAACAAAACATTTGATAAGTTTATGAAGACACTCTGAATAACACTTTACGATTGAATTTGAAAATGCTTTTTCATAATCAGAGGCTAATAACTAGAATAATCAAACTGAAATATAAGAATATAGTCATTGTGTATTATGTTACCTTATATTGAACATGAAGATAAAATTACTAATGGTTTTCAAAGTGCAAGAGAAACCTACAGTGAAATTGTCTTAGTTGATTAACATTTTGAATTAACTCACATTTTAAACGTGTTTGTCCTTGACGGTATTTGTATTTCATAAACAATTTACCATCGATTGATTAATGCATAATAATGTGTTCACCCAATTATAATTACGTTGTTGTTCACCTATATAATATGTACTAGTATATATAACTGTAAAAAAAAATACGAGCCGGCACGAATAAAGCACATAACCGTAATGTACACGTTTCACGGACATTCATATAGGTCATATTACAATTTCATTAAAACTTGCTTTTGTCTGGGTTGGTTCTTCAAAATGATAACATATTGTTCTTAAAGGGAATATAGGTATAGAAGTCCAGAGTGGAATACAATATTCAAGATCAAATCTAGTGAGTGAAAATGATATCTTAATTGGTTTCCAATGACGGGGATTATTGCGTCAATTTAAAAAAATATATATTTAAGGGCACTACTATATCAAAACTTTGACACATTCCCCATTTCCATTCTCAATTTTATTATATGTTATCGACTTGAATAGCCGATTTAAGATTGGGCTACCTTTAACGGCGTTTTATCAATATCTATACAAGTAATGGTTCGTACTACTGAAACGGTCGTTTTAAACTGAACAACTCTTAAATGCATGTATTTATTACAAGGTAAAATGTCAAGATCTTTTTCAGTTGTTAATGTAGATTCAATGAATACCGCCATCTTGGATTGTACAATAGCAGTACACAATCGGTCTACTTCTTTGCCTAAATCTTCAAATTTTGAGACAGATTTGCAATTTATGTGCAAGACTGATATTATTTGTATAAAGAAAAATAAGTGATTCATTGCATTATCAAAAATGTTTAAACAAAACCAAATACAATGTGTTTATGTTTTTATAATCAATTTTAGGGGGAGATAACTCTTAAAGTTAAAAATTCCTATACAGGGATGATAGTGAAATTTTCATTTTTTACTTGTAGCAAGAAAACAAGTTCGGTGACACCGTTTTTACTTTTTATTTTCTTAAAGCATATTGTAAAACTTATCTTCTCATATTTCATTTCTAAATTCTATCTCATAGATTTCTTTTTATTCACAAACATGTGTTTATTCATGAACAATTTTGCACGATTTGTAGCTTGAAAAATAGTACGGCTACCCATACTTTTTATTATATTTTGGAAAGAAGCATTGAAAAATCTTCATTTTGGCAAAGTATAAAAAAATTCTATCTGAGGAAATATATACCGATGATCCATCTTAAGTACATCTTCAGTAGGCTGGCTACCGCGAGCGATTCTGTATTGTACAGTACTGGTTCGGGTAATGAAGAAAAGAACGCCTTCATTTGATTCAGTAGCGTTAAATATGTTTTAGTACGAATAAGTCCATTCGTTGTCCAGTACCGTACAGTTCGATATAATAATATCAGGATAGCTTCCCTTTGTTAAGCATGAGGATCTCAAAGAAATCGAAATACAATATTGATTAAAAAAATAGCAATGGCTCAATTAGCAAATAAATATTAAAAAAAATCATGTGTTGTATGTGTGTAATGTATGTTTACACAGTTTTGGCTACTGGTTCTCAATTATTAACAAAACAAATTTTATATGTTGGTTTTCGTTGCACACCCAAATCTGTCACTCGTTCCGTTGGTTGATAACGATTGATTTTGTCAGTTTCCCATGGACTTCCCCTTTTTTATTAAAATTTACCTTGGAGTTCGGCATTTATGTAATGCTTTTTTCTAGACAATTAAACGAATCAGTTGATATAATTTTAGAGGAGCGCAGTGATAACAACGTAGAAAAAGATTGATTAGCAAAACTGTTTTTAACATGCCAAATTAAAACTTATTTACATTTTGAAGACATTCCTGGTTTGTGATAAGATTAAAACACAAAGTTTTAACCAATAATACGTGTATGTTTTATAAAATAGTTTCAAATCTTCAAACAGAAAATAAAGGTATCTTTATATAAGTGATGATGCATCGCATCCGGGCAATTCAGATGCTCTTGGATTGATACTAAGCTAATACCTAAACCATTATGTGATAAAACTATAGTTTGAAGCAGTTTCACATAAAACAATTTCACGTACAAATGTATATCCCTCTTACATACTCACTAGAGAAATGATATGTCAAGCAAAATCAATAATACCATTTTCTATGAAAATCATGGTCATATCGAAACATATTTGTCTATTTGCATTTTTTTAAAATTTTTTAATATTTGCATTTTAATGATACTTTTTGCAGATTTCCGAAAACACAAACTGAGAATGTACTTACCAAAGAATTGAGAGCCAGCAAGGTGTACTCTGCCTTGACAGTTACTGGGTAGTTAGGTAGGACTAGTTTATTGTAACCATCATCAGTCTGATTAAATAAGAACTTGTGGATTTTATTTGCGTCGTTCACAGTGTAAGATGTCGAATGTATCAATAAATCTAGAAAAAAATATTCATTATTCATTATTTTAAATTACTGGCAGCTGCACTATGTAACCATCACCATGATCATCGGTCTGATTATTTTCATTATTCATTGTTTTAAATTACAGAAAGCCACAATATTTATATACACACATAAACATGCATGAATACAACTGACTTGTTTATATTGAATATTATGCAATTGTTTGTATGTGAGTTGGGTGCTTGATTATCTGTTATGCAAAAAAGATACGTTGTGGAAACGTTAATCAAAATAATGGACATGTATCTTATTTTATGTCAATCTCTTAATATACGTCGAAAATCAGTTTTGAATATATCTAACAAAATATTAAAAATGTACCATAAACACCTGAAAACAACAAAAACATAATGATATTTTATAGCATAACATCCAACGAGGTCCCCGACTTAAGACATGTACTTTGCGGCGGGATAAATCCAGTATTTTACAATATCAACCAGCTTTTTTCGACAACAATAAAAGCAAAAGGTACATAAAAAACATCCAATCATTGATTGATTGGGAGTTCCTTGTTTAACTCTAGTTCCAATCGTTCAATACACTACGGGTTTTCTACCCCCATAGAAACTTTTCTAAATTTGTAGATGAGTCTTATAAAGACAAAGTACTAGTAAACTATATAGTACTCATATGGTTTTTTCGGTCATGAGTTCTATGAACATATTATAGAGTTAATGACACGTTACTTGCTGTAAACATGTTTTAATTATTTTATATATTGACGCTTTATTTTGTAGATTTTAACAACGATATCCATATTACTAAATTGTGCTCCTATGAAATATTTTTCTAACGATACGATATATGTCATATTTGTCAATCATATCTGGCGTTAGTACCGTTCAACAAAGAGAAAGGAAAGGATAACGGAAAATTGCTTTTGTATGTTATACATATAAAGAAAAACATATCTGTGTATACCTGCTGTTCTCTTAAAACATTTGTTATTACTTTTTTAAAGTATATAAACTCATCATAGATACTAGGGTTAGCATTTCGAACGTCAGACGCGTACGCGTGTTTCGTCTGAAAAAGAAGCACCAGTAACGTTCGAATAAAAAAAGTTTGTAATATATTACTTACAAAAATCAGAATAATCGATAATTTTTCGATCATTTGAAAATAATTTTGTAATCGATCATTTATCTATTACTTATGATAGTTATCTTGCAACATGTTTTTCAATTTGACTATTTTTTGGGGTCCTTTATGGTTATATACCTCCTCAAAATTTTATTTTATTATACATTATTAGCTTTCAAATATTCGACTTTGAGCATTTCTGATGACGGTAAATCCAATTCAATTTATAACGTGTGATTTTCCTTTTTTTCAAAGAAAGCAAACATTTATTTGCACACCTGTCATTTATACAATAATTGGCTAATAACATTATGACCTTTTAGGTACTTCCCTCTTACATACCTATACAAATTAGTACAAACAAAATTCCTCTTCTTGTGGAGAATCCTGTAGACATAATTTTCCGATTAAGATGTTAAGCAAGAAGCAAGTACAGTTATTTTTTCTCAATATATATTATATTTCGATTTAGTATTTAGTAAATTATTTTACCAAAAGCCACTATATTTTATAATGTCTCTACACTGTTATCGGCATCTTATCAACCTATAATTTTGTCTTTAAATTACGGCAAATGTTAAAATAAGTCACTGGATAATTTTTAAATCCTAAAACGGGAATGCATGGATTTTATATATGTTGACGGTTTTACCTCATGGATCAAATCACAAAAAGGTGGAGCCAACAACCACGTGCACGAAATAATGTTATTGATAACAGACGAATAATATTTAATTTCTATATCCTGGTCAAAGCTATTTGTTAAGCATTAAACCTTGATTCTTTAAATATTGATCATAACATTTATTTTGGAACAAGGAGTAAAATGGACCGAAAAAAAAGAAGTAAATATATTTCTCTTTTTAATTCCTTGCAATCAATTCAATTTGCAATTATATGGCATTATGTATTTAACTTGAATTGTCTTTATTTATGAGAATTTGCCTACAAGGAGATATAAACTTTAATGTCTATGTCCTGCTAGATACCGTCTTAAAAGCACTCAAGCATGCTTCTTTGTAATTGATCACAAAGAAATTTTTCGAATATTAGATTTCTATTTCCTGTTACTTTCTTAGTGAGAACAAAGACAAGTTTAGAAATAAATTTGATCTGACAAAAATACCAGTGTTCATATCTTACAATTAATTCTTTTTAAAATATATATCAGTAACCACTAGTCCACCAATTTTTTCTACTCTCATTAACAGTAATAAAGAAACAAAAAAAAAGTGATATATTCTAAATACTTTAAAGGTATTGTAAATTTATTTACACAATTTGAGCTTTGGTTGAAGTTGCCATTCATTTAAATAAATGACACAGAAGAGCGCCGTAAAGTGATTTGAATTAAAGTAATACTTAACATTCGTTAATGCAATTTATGGAAATATCCGTCAACAAACTTATAATTATTCCTTATAAAAATGTAACCAATTATTAAAATGTTATGCACAAAGGTTACTTAACTGTAGCGACTCGTAGAGTGTTCTTATATCAGTTTTGTTGACGCAATGCATTTTGATTAACATGTATCTAATAAACAATGCCTTATCAAACACGTCGCTGTCAGGCTTTTTTATGTTATCGTTTGTGGATGTAGAATAAATTAGTATGTTGGTGTCTTCTTCTGAATCGTATTACATTTGTCCTGCCATATAAGAATAAGGAGATGTGGTGTGATTGCCAATGAGACAACTATCCACGAAAGTTAAAATGAAGTGGATATAAGCAATTACTGACATTTGTGCGACCTTCAACAATGAGAAACAGCCAAACTGTATATTCGGCTATAAGATAGCCCGACAAAAACAATATGACACATTTCAGCTGAGGACACTAACTGCATAATTTATAACAAAACAATTCACGCAAAATAAATATGACAGTCATTAACCAACGATACACACTAAACTAAAGGCTCCTGACTTGGATCAGGCACATACAGAATGCGGCGGGGTTAGACATAGCTGAAGGCGTCAACCCTCCCTTTAACTGCTACAGTGGTGTAACAGCAAAATACAAGAATAAACTATGCAAAACAATAAACTAATAACATGACATCTGATTATTTGTCTGCACTTAAAACGCGTGCGGTCATCTTTCTGATCATCGCCTCTTGATATACTAAACAGAAGAGACACGTTTGTCATGTCAGAAAAAAAAATCTCGGTAGTTTGACAAATGGATTAAAATATACTTTTGAAAGAATACGATAGCGATAATTCAACAGCTGATGCAGTTTCCTTGTTTAATAATTAATACTTAATAGGCCCTACAAAGCAGCTGTTAACAAAGCAGTTAGAATATCTATCTTTTTCTTAATCTATTTAATATTCCGATGCAGTATTTAGTAATTTATTTTATCAAAGATTAATATTTTTATATTGTCTTTTCAGCTAGAGTCTGTAATTATAACATAAAAATCTATAAACATGAAAACACCGACATTATATAAAAATTGAAAATTTCGACAAATGTTTAATTCATGTAATGTTTAATCTTTAAATCAGGAATCAGGAATGCAAAGCTTTTAAAGGTTGACGATATTATCTCCTTTGTTAAATCACAAAAAGGCTAAACTAAAACACCCGAACGAGAAATCTTGTTATTCAAAAAAATCAAAATTTGACCGACATTTATTACCTACCGTTAACCTCCAGACAGAAATAATGTTCGATTATAATTTCCTTTTAAACATATTTATATAACGTTCTTTCGAAGTAATCACAACGATATTTTTTAAACAAAGAAGTAAAATTGGTCCAAATAATAATAGCAATTTATAGATTTTGTATTTCATGTTTTTGGCCGTTGGGTTTCTGATCTGAATCATGACGCATTTTTTTTTCTCAGCCAGACATTTGAAAGCTTACTATACTGTATAAGTCATATCCATTGTTGAAGGCCTTTATATTGACACTCATACCAAATCTTCGTGTTTCGATGTTAATTAGATTGTCAAATCAAATTCAGCAGGCCAAACTGCTTGACACAATTTATAACGTTGAAAGAAGGATATACGCCGACATTAATCAATTAGAAAGCAACAAAACATAGTCAAAGAAGATATTGTGTATTTTAAACAATTAAAGTAGACTTATTATTCAATAAAATAAACTATTTTACAGACAATATATTGCACGGAGTCAGGACAATTTGGAAATAAATCATATATTATTATATATATATAAGAAGTGAAAAGTACGAGTTCCAACCGCGGTCGAGGAGGTCGTAAATAATCAGATCTACTCTAACATTGATAGGTTGATTTTCCTGGCACTTTAGGAATATTCTAACACCTAGTAATTCTTACTCATAAGAAATTCGAAGGACAAAGTATAATTTACAGTTGTCCCTATACACAAACAGACATATCTAATTATAATTTCATAGTGATTGTATGCTTCTGAAAATAGAATAGCATCCTGTAATTATACCGAAGAGATGAATAGAGGATATTCCTGTACACTGAAACATACTTTGTGTATTGAAATTAGTCGTCCTTGTTTAATAACTACGAGAAACTAAAATTCCCGTAACGAAAGCTGATTTTAAATCAACAATATTTAGAAGAGGGGGTAATAGGTCTGTGCAATGCTAGTCGGTATTACCATATAATTGAGAAATGAAAAGTACAGGTTCCAACCCATGTCGGGGAGGAAGTAAGGAATCAGTTCTACTTTTACATTGTTGGGTTGCTTTTCTAGGCACTTTGTTCTTGCTTTTATGTATACTGGTATTCGTCTAAAAATGTGACAACTCTTCGGCAGACGTTCTCCATCGGATAACCTGCGGTTAAACAGGGCTGTTACCCTAAATCATATATACTTTGTCTCAGACCAACAATTGTAGATCGATAAAGTTGTTTAGCGGGATTCAATTCGCTGCATTTGAGACATCGTGGCAACACCGCCTGCAATGTGTCCAGTGCCTTAGACCATTCGACCAACTAAAATATATAAATATATAGCTTTCTTTATTCAAATAATGCATTTACCCATTGGCTTAATCTAGAGTTGTAACACGTTACATGATGTATTTTTGCAAGTAGATGGAATATACCTGGCAGATCAGCTGTTTTCGTCTGTCCTAAAGGGTGATCATTTAATTAAACAGACGAGAATTGAAATTAACAGATCATGTTAACATGGGTACCAGAAAGCAAGGTTTCAAGTGGAACATGTGAGATACAAGCATGCTTACGATAACGACATTAAAGCTTACGAACAGTATCAACATTCACTTAATTAACACTATATGGAAGAATAATGTTCGCAATTGCTATCTCAAAGGAGTCAAATTCAATGTATAGAACGCACACAGTAATGATTTGTAAACGAAGGATGAAAACAAACAAAACTAACAAATGAGGTATTCTTCAAAACATGTTAACCCCGCCTGTCACAAGTCAGGAGCCTCTAGCCATTGCTAGTCTTGTATGTTTTTTTAAATTTTGGTTCATTTATATGTGTCGGAGTTTAGTGTGAAGTCTATTTTCGCTGAACTAGTACACATTTATGCGCCTGTCCAAAGTCAGGAGCCTCTGGCCATTTTTTAGTCTTGTATATTTTTTTTCAATTTTGGTTCATTTATGTGTTTCGGAGATTAGTGTGACGTCCGTTTTCGCTGAACTAGTATACATTTTTGTTTAGGGGCCAGCTGAAGCCCGCTTCCGGGTGTGGGATAACTCGCTGTGTTGAATACCATTTGGTATTTGGTGGCCTTGTGCTGTTTTTTGCTCTTTGGCACATCCCCCGTTTCCATTCTCAATTGTATATAGTTGAAGCGGAAAATGTTAAAGATTTTAAGTGGACAGATTATTTTCGCACTATTCTATATACTTATTTAATCATACTTTGTCTAACCCGGTTTTTAAAATTTTTAATTCATAACTACAGAATTGATGAAATTCGATTTACATTTAATACTATCAAACATTTGATCGGATACACATTGATAGATGGACTGTACAATGGCTTTTCACAAGAAAGAAAATTATTTTATTCAATTGGCTTTTGATTTTTTAAATATATATAATACATTTGACTTTGTTTAATTTGATAGGGAATATGACATATGAATAAAAGAAAATACTCATTTAATACCCTGCAAAATAGTTTTCTTTAGCAGAGCTAACAGCAAACGTACAACTAAAAAGCGTTACAAAAGAGGAGGTGACAGAGGAGGTTTTAAGCTAGAAACGTTTTACGTGGCTACAGCAAAGAATCCATTCGTTTGAGCTTTTGATTTTGCCATTTGATTACGGACTTTCCGTTTTGAATTTTCCTCGGGGTCGGTATTTTTTTATTTTACTTTTTTTTTACCCAAGAATGACGACTTTTGTCAACAAAACAACTCCGAATCAACGCTCTGTCTAAATCGTGTGAATGAACGAGTAACACGTAAAGCAGCACAATACAAAAGCAACTAAATTTTCTTCAAATTTGATAGTTATGGATTTATTGTTGACAATCAGACTGTAAAAAATGGATTTATTGTTGACAATCAGACTGTAAAAAATCGTTTAAGTGAAGAGATTTAGGAACATAGTATAAAGCCTTCTGAATTAGTTTTAAACA